TCTATTTATTAATAGTTTAGAATATTTATATTTTTATATATTGAAATTTTCGATAATAATATTATTATTTCTTTTAGTAAAAGAAGTATTACGTTAATTATTTAAGAAGATAGAGTTCTTATTAATTTTATTAATCTTTTTCTTATTCTTTAAATCTAATATATTATTAATAATCTAAAAATTTATATTTAATACTTATAGAAAAATAATTAAATTTCGAAAAGTATTAAAATAGTATTTTAAAATTTAATATTTTAAATATATAGAGATTAGTCGTTTTAGATTAAATATCTTATAAATATTAATAAATTTTAAGAGAGTAATAGCTATAGAGAATCGTATATAGAAGTTCTTAAATAATTTCTTCTTATCTATTACTTCTATATTAAATTTAAATTTAAATATCTTAATATTTAATTTAATAATTTTATTATATATTTCGAATATATTATTTAATTCGTTAATTATTTCTTAAATAATTTAATATAGATCTAAAATATCTTTATCTACTCTTATTTTAATAACGTTATATATAATAAACTTATAATAATTTTATATATAATCGATTTTCTTAAATTTAATAAAGAAGATTATAACGCTTTATTTAAATTTCGCTTTAAGATATTAACGTTAACTATTCTACTTATCTTAATTATTAATATTATAAAAATTCGAGATATCGAAATATCGTTTATTTAATTCTATATTCTTTACGCGATTTATAATAGGAGTATAGCGTAAATTTCGATAGATACTATTAATAAGAATACTCGACTAACGAGGTATAAATATAATCTCTATATCTTTTTTATCGAAGTTTTCTAAATTAGCTAATATATAAAGTTATTACTTCTTTAGCTATTACTCTTTACGCTTTAAGTCTTACTTAAGTTTCTTATTTTCTTTAATAAGTTCCGTAGTATTAATGCGATATCTATTACGTAAACCTCGAAGTCTATTATTAATTTCTCGCTTATAAAATAATTAATTATTATTATTACTTAGTTAAATAATAATTATTAATATCTTTATCTTAGTATAAGCGATATTCTAATTAAATTATTTATTTTATTATTAAAGCACTTTAATATTACGACTAATAGTTTGAAAACTCTCTATTAAAGTCTTTAATCTATTATATTAAGTATTAGAAGTATTAATAGCGCTTTCTATAAAATCTTATAAATTAATAATAAAAATAAAGATTATAATTAACTCTTTTTTAATAATATTTATAAATTATACTTTAATATAACTTAAATTAGATTTAATAATATATCTTCTAAAGATAAAACGCTTTTTCTTATATCGTACGAATAATATAATAATATTTAAGATCTTCTTATCGAAGTTCTCGAGTTCTTCTAGATGATAATATATCTATAATTTATCTATAACGATTTAACTTTATATATTATCTAGATTTAAAATTAATAAGTTTATTAATATTAAGTTAATAAAAATATAAAGAAGATTTAATCTAAGATCTATTTCTTTTAATATATTAAAGATATTTATTTTCTTTAAATTCTTATTTAATCTAATTAGATTAGCCTTTATATAAATAAAAAACTTTCTTTTAAATAATCTTTTAAGTAATAAGCTTCTTTAATTATAGCTATTAACTTTTTAATAATATACTCTCTTTTTAGCTATATATTTAATATAATTAATAAATAAATCGCTATCGCTTTAGAAGAAAGATAGATAGTATTATATTAAGAACTTAATAATATATATAATAACTCTATATTATAGTACAAGTAAAGGCCTATAAATTAAATTTATAAAGTTAGATTTTTCTAAGTTAAATCGAATTTTAGCCCTAGCCCTAAGTCAAATCGAACTCTAATCGCTTGCTGTGCGTTTTTAACCTACTTCCATTATTATAAAATTAATTTAATCTATGTGATATATAGATATATATATACGGAGAGAGGCGCGCTAAGGTCTAATTGAAGGGTGTATTAAGTGTAGAGAATTAATCCGTAATAATTGCCTATAAAAAACAGAGAAAGGCCATGTCCTCATAGCAAGAAGTATCGAAATACCGGAAAGAAATGGAGACAACGTGTCAATTAGTGGTGTGAATCCCATAATATCTCCTGCCGCAGTGAAATCTTTCGAAAAATAAAATAGCCGTAGACATCGGACGATTTCAATTCGTCCAAATATGTATCGTCCGATATTCCTCCTGCAGAGGCTCAATTGACTGAAATAGAGACAACGTGCTAATTAGTGGTGTGAATCCCACAATATCTCCTACCGCAGTGAAATCTTTCGAATAATGAAATAGCTATAGACATCGGACGGTTTTAATTCGTTTAAATATGCATCGTTCGATATTCCTCCTGCAGAGGCCTAATTGACTGTGATCGTCGCAGTAGATCCTCCTCTTGTGACGTCATTGCAGTGATGTATCATATCAATGCAGTGGGGATGACAGGCCAAGTTGCAGTGGTATTCTCCGCTTGCTGAGTGATGATTTGATGTGGAACCGTGGAGAGCATATGACGTGGGATCTTGAAGAGCTGAGCCGTGTTCTTGACGATGGTGGCTCTATTGCCGCTTGGTTTCTCCGCAGTGTTCTCCGCATTTGCCTGTTGTAGTTCCTCCTCTTGCTCCTCAATGTAGTGGGGATGACAGGCCAAGTTACAGTGATATTCTCAGCTTGCTGAGTGATGATTTGATGTGGAACGGCCAAGTTGCAGTGATATTCTCCGCTTGCTAAGTAATGATTTGATGTGGAACCGTGGAGAGCATATGATATGGGATCTTGGAGAGCTGAGCCGTGTTCTTGACGATGGTGGCCTTGTTACCGCTTGGTTTCTCCGTAGTATTCTCCGCATTTGTCTGTTATAGTTCCTCCTCTTACTCCTTAATGTAGTGGAGATGATAGGCCAAGTTGCAGTAATATTCTTCGCTTGCTAAGTGATGATTTAATATAGAACCGTGAAGAGTATATGACGTGGGATCTTGGAGAGCTAAGCCGTATTCCTGACAATGATGGCCTTATTGCCGCTTAGTTTCTCCGCAGTATTCTCCGTAGTATTCTCCGCAGTATTCTCCGCATTTGCCTGTTATAGTGTTACGAGCGTACCCTACTCAGCCCTCAGCCCTATGGCTAGCGGGCCTTGGCGGAGGCATCCCCTACCATATCATGCCTCCTGCCCACATACATAGTTCGGTAGCCTTATTATCCTCGTTCTACCTCACCCATACTGGTATCGCACCTATGCTGGTCCTGACATATAGTTCCTCCTCTTACTTCTTAATATAGTGAGGATGATAGGCTAAGTTACAGTGATATTCTCCGCTTACTAAGTGATAATTTAATATAGAATCGTGGAGAGTATATGATATGGGATCTTGGAGAGCTAAGCCGTATTCTTGGTGCTGAGAGCTCTGTTATCGCTTAATTTCTCCGTAGTATTCTCCGCATTCGCCTGCTATATTAACTTCTCTTACACTGACTATTAGTGTGAGACTGTGGAGAGTAGGCCTATTATATCACTGCTGCTGATAACTATCTCCGTAATATTCTCCGTAGTATTCTCCGTATTCGCCTATTATAGATCCTTCTCTTATTTAACTAAGTGCGAGGGTATCGAGAGTAAATATATTTATATTAATGAAATTAGTAGAATTAATAGAATTAATAAAATAGTAAAAGAAGAATAATTATATACTGGGCAGATATGATGATGTTCAAGAAATGTGGAGGAAGTGGATGCTAAGCGTGGGAGGATTGGCAATATTGTCGTTGTTGTAATGAACTAAAATTTTTTTAAAATTCATTATAAATAATTTCTTTTTTTTTTTTTTTTTTTTTTTTTTTTTTTTTTTTTTTTTTTTTTTTTTTTTTTTTTTTTTTTTTTTTTTTTTTTTTTTTTTTTTTTTTTTTTTTTTTTTTTTTTTTTTTTTTTTTTTTTTTTTTTTTTTTTTTTTTTTTTTAATTTTTTTTTTTTTTTTTTTTTTTTTTTTTTTTTTTTTTTTTTTATTTTTTTTTTTTTTTTTTTTTTTTATATTTTTATTTTTTTTTTTTTTTTTTTTTTTTTTTTTTATAGGGGTAAATATTTCTTTTTAATGAACTACGAGTAGTACTTTTAAGAGCTAGTGCCGGAAGGAGCGGATATGACGTCTGCGGGGCGAGATCCCCATGCTGATTGCCAAGAGATGGATCTTCATTCGTATTTTCATCGCCATTACCCCCATCTATGTCAATTTACTATTCATTCATTGCAATTCGTACGATTTGGATACCTATTGGACGCCACCTACAAGCAGCCTCTGCTATCACTTTCTACTCATGCTGACGATCTGCTGCTCATCTGCAAACGCGGCTAGAAGAATCCTAGCTGCAAATAAGCAGCCATGGAAGTTGGCAGCCAACTGACCGCTTGATACTGCGCAAGTCGACCGGAGCTGTACGTTCTGCTGAAGTCCTCTTGCAGGATTCGGAGAGGTCAACCACCCCTCGCAATCCTCAAGGCTTTGATTCGAATACCCTTTTTGTTTCCATTCCTATGTAGCGAAAGCGAAAGTCCGCGAAAAACAATAATTGATTGTGGGAATCAAGAAATCTCTACACGATGCTTTCAGAGCTGGCGAAATTGGATCGACTCGTGACTAGTATTTTGGCCGCATGGGTATGCAGTCATGCAGTAGCTGCTGCAGGGACCGATCCCTGTGGCCAATATTTCGGCGTATCCGTATCATGTGGGGATTTGCGTTCGGAACCCAGGTCCAATTGAAGACATGTCTGCCTAACTGAATATCCGGAGTTTTCTGCTTCAGTAACTCCCTCGGTATCTGGGCATGGCATACTTAAGAGTTGATTTCACGGCACTTTCGACGGTTCTTTTAGACAACAGCTCAATGTTTAAACGCGCATCCTAATAATATTCAATTCTTTTTGGGAGGACCAGCGACGAATCCCTCGAATCAACAATAGTGTCCGTTTCTTTGCACATATCAATTATTTTCCTCCACTCCTTACCATGAAGAGCTTTACCATCAGCTTCGCCTTCCTCTGTTTTATCACCTCAAGCCACGCGGCTCCTCACTCAGCTCACGCCAAACCTCGACAGTTCGAAGCTGGCATCACCTTCATCGGAGCAGGACCGGATCCACCTTCCTATTTCCAAGCTTTTCCCACGGATGATACCCTCCATACTATCAGTAAGCTTCTGATTCTCCTGACGGCCCCAAACACCTTGGGTCCCTAAACTGGCCCAGTGCGCTACTTAGGGCCGGTTCTTTATGGTCACGTATAACTAATGTATATGCCGATACTGATCATGCTCACAGACAACTCTCTCAGTGTCTCTCAAATCAGTTCTGCGGGTGGTGCTATTTGCTCCTTTTTTGGTGTCGATGGCAGCGATACTTTCATCCACGGTGGAGAGACCGTAGATGTCGGGCCGCCTCAGGTGCAGGTATCGGGAGTCTGCGATGAGGAGTGATTGAGAAATGAGCATGACGGGATACCATGCGTCTGGAGTTCGAGGTCCAACAAATTCATAATGGAAGGCTCTGGTCTGCCCTTGGTGTGTGTGGGTTAGGGTTTATCAGAGTCTTGCTCCCGGTCGCTGCTCAAAAGTTGTGGTTCTTGATTCAGTCTGCTTTACTGTCTCGAGCACTGTGCACGTATATTCCAAAGATTGCCTTGCCGTCTGTGGAGATGCCACGTTCAAAATGTCTTTCACGTCGGGAAAAAGGTCACACATGCAGAACTACTAGACAGGGTCCAAAAGTCTGCCAGAGTAAGGTATTCAGAGAAGCGAGTGTCATTATTGGGGTGTGTGGTAGTGTAGTGACCATGCTGTATCCTTCCCGCGCGGAAAACTCCTGCACGGATCTACTGACTGCCATTGGCTTTGATGTTGGTTACTGTACATCTGCGCTAAGATGCATTAATTTGATGGAAAATGAAAAGCTGGTCTTCGTGTAATGATCGAATCATGGACTCTCACAAGCTGCTTGACAGTGACTATGACTGTGATGGACCTCGCAAACCTGCTGCCTCAAAAGCTGCTGGCGCAAAAACAATGCCTACACCCCATCTCTTAATTAGAGAAGACGCCGAGGTCAATGCCCATTACGATACACATACGTCAGCCTGCTTGATAGAAACAGGCGAAGTTGAAGGATGGAGAAAAATTGACTCAAATGATGGTGGGCAGCAAAGACGTGTAACGAGACGTGCCACTGTCGTCAACCCTGTAATACCGTTATCGATGCCCCTCCGTCGGCCGGCATAAAGCACAGCACGACGGTGGGGCAATTTTTCACTTGGCCACCCGGACCAAGCGCGATGCGATTGACAGCCCATACGGGATCTTACGTCGCTCGCACCGTACCCATAAAGAAAAGCAAAATGCCCCAGTACCCACCGACAGTTTAGCAGCCCTACGGGACTTCCGCCGCACCATCAATGGAGCCGGGGACCACCGAGACTGCAACAGATCAGCGGCCTTCAAGGACTTCTGCTTCACCGTCGCCCATCTCAGTGGTATAGAAAGCCCAGGTAGCAACCAACAGATTGGCGGCGTTGAAGGCTGATGCCGTTCCGTCGGTACTACCTGGGGACAGCAAGGTTCCAACAGGTTGGCGACACTCGTGGATTTATGCCGTCCCGTCAAACCCCTCGGTGTCAGTCCTTGCCCCAAGAGAGCCCAACAGATCGGCGGCTTTGAAGTCTTATGCCTCTCCGTCAATGCTTCCTGGGGACGCTGGGGTTGCAACAGGTTGGCGGCACTTGTGGACTTACGCCGCCCCGTCGCTTTCCTCAGCGCTCGCATATGCCCCAAGCTAGACCAACAGTGCAGCGGCATTGAAGACTTATGCTTTTCCGTCTGTCCGCTTGGGGAACACCAAGGTTCCAACAGGTTAGCGGCACTTGTGGACTTATGCCGCCCCGTCGGAGCCTTCGGTGTCAAGGAACACGCCCACCAGAAGGCAAAGCGATTAGCGGCACTTGTGGACTTACGCCGCTCGCTTGACCCTCGTAGCGTTATGGAAGGCAGACAGATTGGCAGCATTGAAGGCTTACGCTGCACCGTCCGCTTCCTCAGCGTCGCCCACCAGATTACCAAGCGATGAGCAGCACCCGTGGACTTACGCTGCTCGCTCAGTCTTCTTGGTGTTATGGAAGGCAGACAGATTGGCAGCATTGAAGGCTTACGCTGCACCGTCCGCTTCCTCAGCGTCCCGGATGAGATTAAGGACGTCCCAAGTCCATGAGCAAAGGAATGGAGCAGGTCGACAACCTGTAGGCCACGCGTCAGCAAGAGCAGAGGGCGGTATGGAGGAGGTTGAGAACATGCCATGAAGAGTAACTGACGGCCTTCCCGTCGCGTAAGCATAGAGTAGAGGAGCATATATGAAAGAACAAGCTCGAGTAAGGACGAAGATCGTGTCTCCTGCACTACCTGTAAGAATGAGCTCCAGAGCGGGTAGGCTGGTCTAGGTACGTACCATGTCAGGATCTGTGGCGTCACTGAGGTGAGTGAGGTACTCGACGCGACTATGATGAGCTCGAATGCTAGCTAGATCCGGGCGAGTGCGTTGGGCGAGATGGCTGAGGTCGCTCAAAGCCGACAGCAAACTTGAATGCGATGAGCTCGGGGGACTAGCTAGAAGGCTAGTCGTGGCGTACGAGAGGAGAAGTAGCTTGGTGTCGGTGGTAGAGGTAGGGCCGGTAGGAGGAAGAATGCAGGTAAGACGACCTCGTTGACGTGTTGTGGGTGGGGTGGCGGGGTAGGATCCGTCACCGCGGACATGCAGGTGAGGTATGGTGAGGAGAGCTCAGTTAGGATGGATCTAAACACAGTGTCAGCGCGGGCACAGTCAATGAAAAGGTAGGTTGCACGTCTTGGAGGGCACTGACAGCTGAGGTAGTCGGTAGACGAGGGAGGTGGCCGAGTCACCAAAGGAATGTCAGATGGAGCCGGGGGGGTGATCAGGCAACCCAGGCAAGCAACAGCAGCATGCGCTCAAGATGTTCGAGGGAAGTTGATGTAGAGCGATGCTCGTGCGAGTAGAGTCACTGCCTAGTTGGAGGCAGGAATGGAAGGTAGAGGTAGGAGGAGGTGGGTCCAACCTTGAGAGTTGAGGTCAGGCCGGACGCGTTGAAACGGCAGCACGCGAGCGAGAAACTTACCTCGAGACCTGGTGATGGTGAACAGTAACGGGAGCAGCAGCAGGGATGTTGCCGTGATGGAAGCGAATTAATGATGATTGTTACTGTGACTGTCTGAGTAGGAGTTGGGGGTTGGTGGAGTAGAATGAGATGTGGGAGTGTTGGTGGAAGTTGGTGGAATTTGATGGAATTGACGAGGACGTGACTGGATGATGTTGATATGCTGCTTGTGGAATTGTTCAAATTATGACGCGACTGCTGGCGTTAGCCAGTCTTGGCATAGATGGCGTCGGCAGTACCCGGAAGATCTCCCGTTAGCGGCTCTTGGCAGCCCCTACTCGTAAAAGATTTGGTCTGCGAGACTGCGACAGCTTGAACATAACATAAGGTACTTCTCTCAATTCAATAAACGATCTGACCGCTACCACTGTCCTAATATGATCATGACTATCAAATGCTAAGACATATCACATGAATCGTGCGTCCCGTTGACTGAGGTTTCCTCTCAATCCTGGTCTGCTTCCCGCAACGCCTTTCCTACCAAGCTGGACCTCTACACGATGAATACAGCCAATGCAGTAAGCGAAGGACTATAGAAAAGCAAAGGCTCATCGGGCACCAATGTGAGACCGGCCATCGCCTGCCCGTCATGCTCAATCCTGGATGAGGCATGAACAATCGCATTTTGGACCATAGCGATTAGCTACTTCTCCTGTATCCGGTCGCGGGCGAGATGGCTAAAGACTACCCGAAGCTCCTGTTCTGCCTCAGCTACACATCCGACATCTTCGAAGGACCCAATGTCGATTGTTGATGCGAGTAGATTTTGAGAGCGACGAAAAGCCGTTAAGCTGTCGATAAAAGTATTCGTTGCTGCGTAGGCTGCTTGCCCGCGGGTTCCAACGATGCTATAAAGTGATGCCAGCATGATGAAGTACTCAAACCCTGGAAGACAATGACGTAGGCTCCACGCGCCTTCCACCCTGGGTCCCACTACGCTGGTCCAATCGTCGAAGGAGGATTTTCGAACAGAGCGTCCTACCGCCGACAGTCAGGTAACAGCTCAATCAGACGGGAGCCAAATAACCTGACGCGGAGCATGATGGCACCATGAAACACCTTATGTTGGTGACATCGTCCCTTGGATCCCATTTATGAGGTCCTCTAATTGCGCTTGATTGCTTACGTCGCACTTTCTGACTGCGATAGGAACACCATTGTCGAGAATGTCTATTTCTTCGACAAGTGCGTGCGCTGAAGCGCTGCTAGAACCACTGCGCGAGACGAGCACGATGGGTTTGGCACCGTTCTTGGCAAGCCAGGATGCCAGTGACCGTCCTATTCCTCCGGTGCCGCCCGTAATAGGGTACGACGCATCTGCATGCGCGATTGTTGTGTAAATGAGAGGTGGTAGTACCTATATGGCATGTTTCGGTATGAATCCACCCGGCAAACAGACTTTCGAACATTACCTGTACGACCTCGTCGCCATGGCTTCGGATGATAATCTTTCCCATATGCTTCCCGCCTTGCATGAGTCTCATGGCGATTTGTAATTCAGACATCGCGAAGGAGGTGATGGGCGAGACGGCTTCGATAGCACTGGTCCGATAAAGCTCAAGTACATCAGTCAGAAGCTTAATGGAAATGTCTGGCTCGTACTTTGCCACGACTGTAAGGTCAACGCCCGCGAAGGTTTCCGAGCCGAGAAATCTCTTCACCTCGAGGTAGCTGTTTTGAACAGAATCGGCTTTACTGATTTCCACAAACCTAACCAATGGTGCAATACAACGCCATGATGCTTGCAAGCTCTCGCCGGCGATCGAGTTCAGCAAAACATCGACGCTAGTGTTGTTATTTGCGCGGAGAGTGCCAGATTCAATATTAGTGTCTCGGCTCGAAAAACTGTTGACTTTCAGGACTGCCATAAGGATTCTTCACGAAGTCCCCTTTATCCGCAAAGCCCAAGGTAACCAAAATCTCGGCACCACAAAGCTGCGAAAGCATGATGGCCGCTTGGCCCACGCCACCGGCAGCAGCATGAATCGGGATTGACTCTCCTTTTTACAAACGGGCTGCTAACTTTTTTGTGCCGAGATTTTTGTACAATGTGCCATGGAGAAGATGACTGGAATCGATGCTGCTGTCGTGAAGCTTATTTCGTCTGATATCCTTGATAGAAGAAGGGACAATGTGCGTGTTCGGCTGCCGAATGTCCCAATCAAAAGGCCGCAGACCCCGTCGCCAGGGCTCAGGTGGGCAACGTTCTTACCCTCTGATGCAACAACACCGCTGCATTAGGAGCCAAGCCCTTGGCAAGGGACTTGACCCGTCCGATCATCACGTCTCTGGAATTCAGCTAAAGTGGCGTTAATAAAAGACGAGTGGCTTGGAAGTCTTGTGCGATTATGCCACTTACACCTGCAGCCTTCGTTTCAATCTCCTCCTCATCTTCGCCAATTTCACACTCAGATTTGTCATCTTCTCCGAAATAGAGGCAACCTGGGGTTCCGATCTCTAACTTCATGTGCCGTTCATGTTGCACAAAGTTCTGAGGCTGAGGGCTAGCTCCCCTGGTCTCCCGCAGGACATAGTTATCTCTCCCGTCAGCTTGTAGCACAGATCACGTGTTAGGCACAGATCATTGTTCGAACCTTTGGTTGGCAGCTTAGTGGCCATATTACGATTATCTCAATGTCAGGTCTCCTTTCAGTGGTTCTTTCGTCATTATCAAACACTGCCACTGTCGCATTTATTGCATTCGTCGCCTCGCTTGTCTCCGCCGATGCGAAGACTCGGAGTTGGTCCTCAGGAACCCTCTCCGCATAGTGCGAGACATGAAGACTCTTGACGTAAGCTGGAACGTATGAGCTGATATCGGAAAGTTCGGCGCCGCACGTTGCGAAGACTGCAATGTGGAGGCGCAAACCTAACATGGTGGGATGCACAATGAACCGTGTCTGATGATGGTGAGGCATCAAGGCTGCTGCTGTGTCTGGGACAACCAGCGTCCCAGCACATAGCCCAGCGTTCGCCTTGGTCTCAATTATGTTTCTAAATGAGGACCCGTATTCCATACCTGATCGTGACATGACATCATATTCCATTTAGCAGTCCAGACGTACCTTGCAAGTGACCTCATGTGCCGAGACGAGTCTTGTCTAAAATTGTGAGCGATCTTTTAGCATCCGCTGACCGTTAATCTCGTTCGCATCTTACTTGTCTTGCACGACCAATATAAAACCTGAACAGTGTTCAGACCAGCCGCTCCCATCTGTATGAGAACAGACACAGAATTCGTCCCAGGTGCTTGATCTGTCCTTGGACCCATCTGCACGGGGTCGAAGCGTGAGAGAAAGCTCCACCTAGGATGATTGCATAAGTATGAATGATTTTTGACAGAGAACACCCTGAAGTTGTAGCTGTGTGATTCCCCAACCTTGTGGTCTCACATAGTCGCTCGCTGAAAGACCACTTCACAGGCCATTGACACATAAGCCGCGAATGGAAACAGGACATTGAACTGAGTAAGGTGATGCGAAAGCCATGGGATTTCCGATAAGCGAATAACCCTTCTCCACCGCGGTTCCAACTCCTCGAAGTCCTCCACTAGCACACCGAATAGTTCATGCCGGGGAAAGCGGCGGAACCGATTGTTCTTACCAATCCGAGTCTCGTGCAATTATCGTTTTGTGTGCAGCCATGGATACTGAGGTCAGTCAGAAAGCAATATGTAAGGCTTATCAGGTGGTGAATGGTACCGATCCCGAAACTCAACCGGGCATTCTGTACAGTGCAGGGCTCCTGCCGTTCCAAGAAGACTAGGGCGGCGTCCGAATCTCGCAGCAGGGTGGATAGGTATCTAGGCGAGCTGCCCGAATACGACTTCTGGAGTTGAGGATCTCCTGGTGCTTTGAGGCTCGAGTGAGGCCCAATTCTCACAATCAGATCGATGTTTGATTCAGACACATCGTCGTTTCTTCCCCAACACATTTTGGTGGTATTTTGTGAAAACAAACCGAGACTTGTTATGTTCTGACACCTACATTCAGCCTCTTAGTCTCCCAGAGAACTTGCTTGCCTCTCAATGAGGAGAAAGACGTGGGCTTGACTCAAGGCACGATTCGGTCTGATGCCGCCCAGCTTGATCGGGTACTCGGCCTCGATGTCCCTCCTATGATGCGAGTGGTATGCGATATCCACCTTGAGTCTCCTTACAAAGACGTTGGCATCTGTCGCGAGCTTTTGCAGTGAGTCCACCGCGTCTGAATCTTCCAACACCGGGATTAGCGACGGACTATTGATGCACGCAGTTACGGCTTTTCCCTCGGAGACCTTTCCAAGCAGGGAAGTTACTTCGGCAACAGTGGCATCTATTGCTAGCATGGCACCGCGAGCAGCAGATTTCGACGCAAATCCTCCGCGGTGATATGCCACCGCCGTGCACAAAGTTAGAGACAGTGCTCCAACAGCATAAGCAGCTGCAATCTCGCCACTGGAATGTCCTACTACTGCAGCTGGGTTGATATTCCAGCTCGCAAGCAGCGAGACTAGAGCAATCTGGATGGCGGTGGTAGCTGGTTGGTCTATGTTCGCGAGGTTGATGAGGCCGTTCTGATCGTTGCTCTGTAGCACTTCGAGTGGCTTCAGGAATATCATACCTCCTCCACCGCGATATCCAGTCGCTCGGTGATCGTAATTGTAGGAGCGTCCATCAGTGCCGAAAGGTCTAGTGAAAATAGCAAATACAGCACGCCCGAGGGGTCTGGAGACCTCACCCTAGCATGCTTACAGCATTCATCTTTTCGGGACTCAGAAGGATGTCTACTTTGATATGCCAAATGGAGTGCCGTAAGACCCGAAGAGCACGCAGTGTCTATTGCTACGCTGGGGCCCTTGAGGTTATTGATGTATGAGATTCTGTTGGCTAGGAAGCTCATCACATTGCCAGTAGTTTGTTATACGGGGCCACTTTGGATGTCCTTATTGAGAAGATTCTGGTAGTCAGACATAGAGCTGCCCACGAAATACCCGGAATATTGGCCGACGATTATTTTTAAGGGTATTCCGGCTATTACGAGAAGTAATCATTGTTAGCTTTTTCGTTGGGTACCACTTGCCTGGGGCTACCTACCATGTTCTAAAGCTTCGTAAGTTATTTCGAGTAACAGTCCTTGCTGCGGTCCCATCGCCTAATGAGGTTTTTCTTAGTTGGTGCTGCTGGATGTGAGTGTGAATCCAACACAAACACTGGCTTCGCTCGGGCTGATATCGAAGAACGAGGCGTCGAAAATCCAACATCTACTCTCGGAAAGTGCGCGCCTTTTCCATTGTCTGCAATTATAATAAGTGGAAATCCTTCAATTGGGGCAGGGTTACCTACACTACCATGTTTGGAAGTATTAGGATGCCGGTAATTTGCCCCGTTAATTGGGTCTTTGGGGAGACGCTCTTCCGGCTGCAACACATCTCCCAGAGACCCTTAACACTGGAAGCATCTCCAGGAAAGCGGCAGGACATTGCAAAGGTAGCAATGGGCATAAAGGTTTCTGGCGAGGGACGTTGCCCCGAGCAGCCATTCAAGGCATGCCTTTCACCAAGGTCTACACCAGGACTCGCGTCTGGCATGATACAAGCGTGCTTCGGTTCTTGTCGGAAGAATGAACAGTCAGGTGCCTGGGCAAATTCTTGCGGGATCTTTAGACAAAGACTAGAAAGCTACGACACCTGTCGAGAGAAGACTGACGGTGTATCAAGTTAGAAGTGTAGGAGTGTAGGCGTGAAGGACGACTGAAGACTGAAGGTTGTACGACCGGAAATAGCGGGCCAGGTTCAGCTTCCTCTGTCCACAGGATCAGCGCCTTGAACTCCCACCGATTCGGAGATGGTAGAATCAGCATCGGAGAAGCCCACCAATGGGGATCTTACCACGGGGGTCTCATAAAGAGGCATACTGGTGGGTCTAAGGTAAGACTCTTAGTGTTGAACAGCTACTGCCAAGAGTCCAAGGTTGCGCTGTCAACTCTGTTAGCTCAATGAGATTATCCTTGCCTTCAACACCAGTCTCCAGCAGCAGTAAAGGATGAGCAACTCCCGGCGTAAATGAAAGAGAAATACGGGAATGGCGGCGAGTGTCACTCAAAATCTGCCAGATCCCGAAGAATGCGCAAGGACAACCTCAACGGAAAGGAACACGAGTTCGAGTGAAGCATGCGACCAGTTGGCAAGAAGACCTCCATTCCACAGTCTCGACCAACTATCAGTACACTGGCGTCGATGTGACTGTGAACGTGACCACAACTCCTGAAATGCTCGAAGCAAGACCAAAGTCGGTTCCACGATGTCCCTACTACCCCTCGGGCAAGCAAGGTGGCCAATGGGAGCTTCGCTCATGGAGGCTTGAGTGAGAGGAAGATCAATACTGACCAGATGATTGAGGTGGACATTTGCAGCATGTTGTTTCATCCTCAACGCTTCAAACGAGGCTTTGTTCAGGACCGGTGACGCCCGAATTGAAGGGGGGCTTCTAAGGCGGGAACCCCTGCGCGAATACCCTTTCCCTGTACGCGTAAACAATCTGAGACTCAGATTCTGAGTCCTGACATGTACACACATCCAAATGCATTCGACAGGGATTGCTTCCGAGTGAAGAGCGGGAGCCGTCTAAAACGCGCTCAACCTCGCACCCTAGATCCTGAAGTAATATGCTCGAGATGGCAGGAAGACGTTTCTACTAACATGGACCCTCACGCAGCCTTAGAGCGGCTTTCAAGCGGGTGCACAGAAGAACTTATAAACAACTATCGCCTGAGCCAGCAAATCCCGACTATATCGAACATCTCGAGATCTTTGGCAAGTACTGTCTAAGACGTACGCCTGCAACGAACGCCATGTGTGACTGATGACGCTGTAACTGAGAGAACCAGCTAGGTTATTTGGTATAGACCAAGCGCAAGTTCGGGGATCGTACGCCCTCGCACCTAAAGGTTAAGTAAGGGTACAGAAGAGTGACAGAAACGCAGCGATGCTTGCGCATACCCACACTAATGCCCTGAATTCTCTTTTGCAATTTCAGAGTTTCTTTCGATGGACTGACGCTCTCGTTTACACTGTGTAAGCGAGTGAGTGTGCGACAGCGATTGGTTCAAGTATCTCTAGATCGCACGTAAATTGGATACAGAATCTCTAATCTGCTCTGAACTTCTGCGCAGCCACTCTGCCAAAAGTGAATGTCAAAGTTGACTTCGCTCAATCTCGCTCGAAATAATACATGGCGCTTAACGGGGCGAACCCCACAGCTCATAGATCCCGGTCATTGTAAGTACTTACAGACAGAACGGAAAAGCCTCAGATGCTTGGCGCACCCACGTGTCTCTCTTCACGGTCTTCAATCGTTGCATTGCGCAAGCAGAATCCAGCTTCGCCGGGCTGGTGGAGTCTCACCCTCTCAATGTAGCTGTATGATAGCACGAAATGACTTACACTGGAAGAGTGGGGAGAAGGATGGTAAATGTATTTATATTAAAGGGTTCATACCCGTCGTGATAATCTCATGAGCAATGTCTTTCTCTCTCCCTCAGCGTGCTGCCAGCATCTTATGTATCGCTCTCATCATCGGATCTTGCTTCTCTTCTCCCACAGCTAAGCCAGCCATTCTGCGAGCTATTCATAGCGCCGACTATGACAGATCCTCCGACGTTCGGGCTCGTGACTCAAATCGATACCCGGAGCTCGACTTACAGACTCAGGGAAAGCTGATGTACGGGGGTTCTCCAGGTATGCGTACCGCTTTGCGCTAGCGTAGCCCAAAGAGGCGAAGCGAACTCATCTTTCCCAGAGAATGGAAGCCGTATCCTTGCCAACATGATGCTCTACGCTCCAGACGGCCTGTTAATGGTGTTACTGGAGTACTTCGACCATCTCACCTCGGCCATAGACTGCTGGGGGGACGATGGAACTATGTCGTTAACCTTCAACTCCACTCAAGCTTATGAGTACGCTTTGCACGCCTGGGGATTTGTCAACGCCAACGCTAATGGCAAATTCCTGCTCATCGCCAACCACGCAGGGTGCGGACCAGATGAGGAACGACAAGCTTACATGTGCGCGCAGTACCCAAATCCGCAGGAGGCACTACACACTAACTATTCGTTGCAGTATCACCTCAATCAGAGAAGATGGCGCGTCTCTCACGACATACTTAGCCGCACAGGTGGCTCCTTGGTCTGACATTGGGGGCTCTTACGACCTCCATTTCGGGCATATCGTGACTAGTCGTCATACTCCTGAACGACGAGGATGGAAAGATGATCTCAAAGGTAACTTCGATGTGACCAAAACCACGGATTTTGATCCGGAATTAGGACATCCCGGTGAGGTTAGAAATATCTGGCATGATGACAGGTATGTCAAGCGAACTCTTCTATCTCTCAACCCACTAAGGCCAGACGCAGTCGTCTGATGCTGGATTGTATCGACTGTTTCGTGGCTGGAAGCTTTCATTTAATAGGTCACGTCAAGGTATGACTATCCTACAGTTCTTCGAAAAGCTGCTAACTAGGAGCGTTTGAGACACACCACTGGCATATTGAAGTGGCTACATTGTCAGCCAGTCCCAAGGGCTTCAACGCGACGGTGGAACTCCAAGCGAAGATCACTAGAACCGATAAGCTTGAGGAGCTCTCAGACAAGATCGAAGACAAGGCAGACCTGTTCTCAATGCCGGTTCCCGATCTTGGAATCGAGATCCCCAAAGTCCTGAAGCTCGGCCTTACGCTCTCCTACCAAATCGGATTCTCAACGAAAGTAGCGGGATCGGCTACATTTGTCCTCGGCGCGACAACAAGCCTCCCAGACGATGGGACCATCACGGTAGATCTGAAGGACGTCCAGAAAAGCTCTTGGACTGGCTTCGAGGGCGCAGCTTTGGTTCCCATATTTGACGTCACGGAGCTAAGCGCAAGTGTCAAATTCGCGGTGTTTACGCAGGTCGACCTTGCATTCGGCATCGACATAATAGGACACGACAGCCTGGATGTGGAGTTGAATCTGAAGATACCACAGCTTTCTACAAACTTCGCTGCTGGTTACAGTAGGTTTGGCTCTGACTCCTCCGCTGTAAATGACCTTGCGCTAAACTCTCCGTTCCTGTAGAAGAAAAAGGCTTTTGCAACCAGGACGATGGCGCTTTGACGACCGGGGTCATCGCCACGACGGCGCTAGCTATCGAGCTCTGGCTCGAGGTTAAGTCCATATTCGAAAAGAAGAAGAATGATCTCTACTCATACAAGTTCTTCAACCTCACAAAAACGCTCGACGAGCATTGCGCGCCTTTGTCAATACCGGGGCTCACCGATGAAACGATCCCGAGCGTATCAGAACTCTTGCCAATTCCGACGCAGTTGATTACGCCCCCCGTCGATCGTTAATCACGATTTTAGAGGAAGCCGGGAGCATTTTTCATAGACTTTTATCTTGATTGCCGTTACGCACATAGCCCCTAATAGTCGGAGAAATGCTTTAGCTTCATCGATACAATATAGAGTAAAGCACTGTACGAGTCTCATGGTATCATGAGGAGAGGGTTGTTGAAGTAGACTTCGCTGTCGGTATCTATCTTAGGCGCATGCTGCCCTTCACCTTGTCCCTCATAGCCTGCAGCCTCGCAGTTCCTCTATCCAGCACCATTTCGGCGAACTCACCCTCGCCGTCACAATCCTCCGAATATCGCCTCTTTATATTTAGATACTTTGATCTCTCTTCATCATGTTCACCAATCGGCACAACGATACCTGCGTACCTCATGGTAATCGCGTTAAGAAGAATCCGGCAAGTGCGACCATTTCCGTCGAGAAAAGGGTGGATGACAACGAAATCAGCACATGCCCACGCCGCAAGACAGAACGGATCTAGAGCACCACGCTGCGTGGCCTCTTCAATCTTGTTGTTCAACTCCGTAACAAATCGGCTCATTGCTTTCGGGACCATTTGCGATGCAGTGAAATGGGTACCACCAGCGTTAACCTCTGCGCCCATCTGTTTCGAGCCTGGCTGCCGTACGTGGTTGCGGTATTTACCAGCATAGTCTTGCCAAGGTGTATCGTACTTTGGATGAGAGACATTCGTACACAATATCTTATGCGTCTCCTTTATTAGTTCTTCAGACAGTGGCCGTTGTTCGATGACAAAGCTATTGGTAAGAAACCACAAAGCTCTTGCATGCTGAATTACCTCCCACCTTGTTCGCAGGATATGGTTCTCAGCTTCTTGGGCACTGTGCTTGGCTTCGATGTAGTTCTCGAGCTGCATCTGATAGTCATCGTCCCGTTCACCGACGTCAACCTCCTGGCCCTTGAAAATCCGATCAACCATTTTTATCGTCTCAGCTAAATTCAGACCCGCTCTCTCGATCATGTTCGAGCCGAATATCACCAGCTTCATATCATCTTGAATGCATTGAGACATGATCTCCGCTGTCTTCTCGGGGCTATCTCTTCTGATACCCTGGATCTCATTGAGATATTGTAGGGCTTCATTGAATTGTTCCTGCGGCCTTGATTTTCTTGAATAGAATAGCCTTGTATCGCTCATACGAATAGTAAAGTTGAATTTTTGCTCTCCTGCCTCCGAGTTTCCCCAATTTGCCCATCTTCTCCGGAATGTTCTTCGCAGCGTGTCACGGTAAGTCTCCTGGCCTTCTCTCCCCAATGGCGAGTCTGGTGAAGTGGGAGATCTGAGTGCATATTGGGAGGAACTGCTCTCGCCTGCTTGGTTTGTATTGATGGAAAGATTGCTGAATGTGGGGATTGGGGGTCTTGAATGGCCGCGTGATCGTCGGACTGGAGAGCGCTCAGGACTTCGTCTGGGCGATATGTTTTCCATAGTGGTTGAGGGTTCTCAGCTGAGATGAAGTTGAAGTGGCTCTGGGGACAGCGATAAGAGAAATTTGACGTTGGATTAGGGAACAGAAGAGAGCTTCAACAAGGTTGAAGGAGAATTAGTTGGAGAGAAGTTGAAGAAGCATGTAGCTGTTTTTCCGAAAAAATGAGTCAATTTGAGAAAATTGCACTTTCATTTTCATTTATCAAGCTCAAAATCCGCTTACAATCACCACTTACAATGCAGTAACAATGCGTAGCTAACCCTTAATTTTTGATGCGATGAACGTCTCTGCTATGCTATCTTTATGAAATAAGAGTTACTGGAGCGGGCGATAGTTTAGTAACTTTATGGCAAGAAGTACTTAATCGAATAACTGCGGTCTCAACGATAGGACATCGATCCGTCGCCGCTCGCTGTAAGAAGAGTAATGGAATAAGAGTATAGATTTCTTATAATTAAAAGGATATAAATATCTATAAACGAAGGCTTTCTTATTTATATCTCTATTAAGTTAAGTAATCTATATTATATATAACGAATTATAATAACTTAATAAGAGAATAATATTAAGATTTAAGATTATAAAAGCGAATATATTAAATTTAATAATATTCTTAATTTTTAATTATCTAATCTACTTTCTTCTTTATATATTACTTTATTTAAAATCTTTTAATAATCTATAATCGCGACGCTAAAATCTATAGAGTTATATTTATTTAAATATATTTTATTTAATAATAATTTTTTTATTATATTATATACGCGAAATTAAATATTTTAATATCGTTTATTATTATAAGTAATATATTTAATTAAATCTAATCTTATTTTACTAAAAAATTAATATTATTTATTATTATAAATAATATATTTAATTAAATTTAATTTTACGCTATTATTATTATACGAAATTTATTTAATTAAATATTATTAATAAGTTATTATTATCTATAAATAATATTTATTTAAATAAAAAAAAAACTCTCTATTACTTTATTTTTAATTATTTTAATATAAAATTTTATCTTTAACTTATATTTACTACGCGTTTATTATATATTTAATTTAATCTTATCTCTTATAAGAATATAATCTTTATTTCTTTACTCTCTTTTCTTTATTATAATAACTTATTTTAAAAAAATCTTAAAAGAAAAATATATTTTCGCTCGCGAGATTATAACTAAATATTAAATTAGATATTAAATTAAATATAAAATTTAATTTTTATAAATAAATATAACTATTTTATCGTAATTCTTAAATCTTATAAATTTTTTACTTTCTAGAATTATAATTAAATAATAAGAGATAATTTAAATAAAAAATAATTAGCTTATTAATATTATAGAGAATTTTAATTTATTAAGAAAGTTAGAGAAAAATAACGATATTATCTTTATTAAAATAAAATTATAATAATAATAATCTCTCTCTTAAATTATATTTAATTTTTTAATTAAATCTTAAAGTAAGAGTAATATAATTACTTAATCTTTAATTAAATTACTATTTAAAAAAGCTTTTTTAAATTTTAATAAATTATATAAACTAAGTAAATAAATCTCTAATATTCTATTTATTTAGAATTTTATTAAAATTATAAATACTCTAATTATAAATATATATCTATAATCGAAATTAAGCGATAAAGTTTTTTATATTTATTATTATAATTAAATATTTATATATTTATAAAGAGATTTTTAAGTTTACTCTCTTTTTTATAATTCTTTCTCTTTCTTTTTAATCTAAGAGTTTTTTATTTATACTTTCTTCTTTATAACCCTCTCTTTCTTTTTAATTTAAGAGTTCTTTATCTATATTCTCTTCTAATATAATTCTTTTCTTTTTTTTTATTAAAAAGTTTTTTATTTATACTTTCTTTAATATAACTCTTTCTTTTTTCTTAATTTAAAAATTTTTTATATATACTCTCTTCGATATAACTTTTTCTTTTTATTTAAAAGTAATATTAATAAACTTTTAATATTATAAAAGCAAAGTTAAACTTAATTTAATTAATTTTAATACTTTTAATCTTTTAATAATTAATCTCTTTTTAAATATATTTAAATAAGTATAATTATAAATTAAAAAATATATATAATCTTAAGTTTCTAAATTAGAGTAATACGGATTATCTTTTAATTTTTATAAATAAATTTAAAAGATTAGAAACTATATTTAAAGATATTATTTCTTTTTTAAATTTATATAATAATATTATAAAGATTCTTAAAGCTAGTTAAAAACTCGCTATATTTATAATATATTATTATTAAATCTTCTTTTAAAATTTAATTAATATTAAATAGCGGTAATCTGATATTATTCTATTAAATAGAGTATAATAAAATACGATCGTATTTTATTAGAATAGCTCTTAGCGCGAAGGCGTATTTTATTATAACTTTTATATTTAAATAAAATACGCTTTTTTTTCTAATAGAATTTCTTTATTTTTTTAGATTTAAATAGTTCTAAGTTAGAGCTATATAGCGCCTCTTATATCGCGAAATTTAATCTTATAGTTATTTTTTAAAAAAATATTAAATTCTATATATAAAGTCGTTTTCTTAACTCGTCGACGTTAAGAGAACTTTATATTATAATTTTATTTTCTATAACGAATAATTAATATAATTTAAAAATTAAAAAAAATAATAGTATTACTTAGTTGATATTATATATAAAAATTAAAATTTTATAAATAGCTCTAGAATTAATTTATTTAGAATTAAGATATTTTAAATAAAATTAAATATTTAATAATTTTTTTTTATTATTTAAAATAAAAAATTTGAAAAAAATATATAAAAAAACTTAAGAATCTTAGAATTTTAACGTATATTTTTTAAATAGATTTACTTCTATATTCGTTATTTAAAATAATAAATTTCTATATATATATCGATTACTTTTCGCGCGAAGAGAAATTCTTTACTTAGAAATTTATTTCGCCCTATATATAAAATATATTTAAGAAATTTAAAAAAAAATTTAGTTATACTTAGTTAGTAATTTTTAATAAAATTTAAAATTTAATAATCGCGTAATTTTAGAGTTATAATCTATTAAAATAATACTTATTATCTTATATTAAAGAAATTATTAATATATTAAATAATTTATTCTCTTTATATAATATAATAGATAAAATTATTTTATTCTTTATTTATAATATAGTTATCTAATTCGTAGTTATATTATAAATAAGAAATTTTTTTTTATTTTTAAATAAATAAGATCGAGAGTTCGAGTTATATCGTCGTTACTTTTTTAAATTCTTAAAATATCTTTTTTTTATTATATCGCTAAACTCTATAAAAAAAAAAATTAATAATAATATTTAAGTTTATATTTTTATTATTAATATTTAAAAAGTTATAGATAATATAAAAAATAAGCGAGTATTTTAATATCTCTATTTAAAATCTTAACGTTAATAACGAATTTATAATAAATAAAAATATTTAAATAAGATAATTTATAGCTCTAATTAAAAGTAATTTAACGATATTAAAACGAAAAGATAATTATTATCGAGTATTTAATTATTTAATAAAATCGTATATTAGCGTTTAATTATTCTCGAATTATCTTTTAAAATAATTTAGATAACTCTAAGATTTTAACGCGTATTTTTTAAATAGATTTACTTCTATATTCGTTATTTAAAATAATAAATTTCTATATATATATCGATTACTTTTCGCGTTAAGAGAAATTATTAATCTAGAAATTTATTTCGCTCTATATATAAAATATATTTAATATATTTAAATTATATAATAGTTATACTTAGTTAGTAATTTTTAATAAAATTTAAATTTTAAAAATCGCGTAATATTAGAGTTATAATCTATTAAAATAATACTTATTATCTTATATTAAAGAAATTATTAATATATTAAATAATTTATTTTCTTTATATAATATAATAGATAAAATTATTTTATTTTTTACTTATAATATAATTATCTTAACTTATAATAATATTATAAGTAAGAAACTTTTTTTTATTTTTTTTTAAATAAGATTAGAAGTTCGAGTTATATCGTCGTTACTTTTTTAAATTCTTAAAATATCTTTTTTTTATTATATCGCTAAACTCTATAAAAAAAAAATTAATAATAATATTTAAGTTTATATTTTTATTATTAATATTTAAAAAGTTATAGATAATATAAAAAATAAGCGAGTATTTTAATATCTCTATTTAAAATCTTAACGTTAATATCGAATTTATAATAAATAAAAATATTTAAATAAGATAATTTATAGTCTTAATTAAGAGCTATTTAACGATATTAAAATAAAAAAATAATTATTATCGAGTATTTAATTATTTAATAAAATCGTATATTAGCGTCTAATTATTCTCGAATTATCTTTTAAAATAATTTAAAATTAATATATAATTTTATATAATAATATTTATAAAAATAAAAAAAGATTATTTAATAATATAATCTTAATAAAAAAGTAATTATAAATTATTATATTATTAAATAAAAATATCGATTTAATATAGAATTATTATATAAAGAAATCTCGATAAGCTAGTATTTATTATTATTATTTATAATTTATAATTTTAAATATATATAATAATAAAGAATTTTAAAAGCTATTTAATAATATATTAATATTAAAAAAATTATTTAAAGTTTTTTAAATAAAAATTATTATATATAATTATTAATAAACTTAGAACTTTCTTCGTTATAATATTATTATTCTTTATAATTTCTTTTAAAAATTTATATTCTATAAAATTTTAAAAAAAATAATATAATTTAAAGTAATAGAAAGTCTTAGATTTTAAAATTTTTAAATTTACTCTTAAATTAATTTTTTTAATATTAAGAATAGTTTTATTATAGAGATTTACTAAGTATAAATATACTCGCTATTATAAATCTTAATCTTTATTTTTTATTTCTTAATCTATTATTCTAGATATTATTAAATAAAAAAAATATAAATATATA